AGACCTGGTTTAGACCTGGTTTTAGTCCTGTTTTAGTCCTGGTTTAGACCTGGTTTAGACCTGGTTTAGATCTAGTTTAGACCTGGTTTTAGTCCTGGTTTAGTCCTGGTTTTAGACCTGTTTAGACCTGGTTTAGACCTGGTTTTAGTCCTGTTTTAGTCCTGGTTTTAGACCCATTTTAGACCTGGTTTAGATCTGGTTTAGATCTAGTTTAGACCTGTTTTAGTCCTGTTTAGACCTGGTTTAGTCCTGGTTTAGACCTGGTTTAGATCTGGTTTAGACCTGGTTTTAGTCCTATTTTAGTCCTGTTTTCGTCCTGGTTTAGTCCTGTTTAGACCTGGTTTAGACCTGGTTTTAGTCCTGTTTTAGACCCATTTTAGACCTGGTTTAGATCTAGTTTAGACCTGGTTTTAGTCCTGTTTTAGTCCTGTTTTAGTCCTGGTTTAGACCTGGTTTAGACCTGGTTTAGTCCTGTTTTAGACCCATTTTAGACCTGGTTTAGATCTGGTTTAGATCTAGTTTAGACCTGGTTTTAGTGTCAAGCAATGAGTGGAATTACCGAAAAAAAAAAAAAAAAATCCCGCCGTGTAATCCATTTCTTTCAACAAAGTAACTGTAATCCAAATTACCACTCACTGAAACAGTAACTGTAACTGAATACAGTTACTCATAATTTGTACTCTGATTACATAACTCTGGTACATGTAATCTGTTACTCCCCAACACTGCAAACTATCATAAAAAAATATATTTTTGCTTTTCAGTCCTGTTCAGAAACGTAGCGGAGTAGAAAGTACAGATACCTGCTCTGAGATAAACACAAATAAAAGTACAGTTCCCGCTGCCAGCTTGGTTAATCATGGTTAATCATAGCGGTTGGCGCCATTTTCACGCGCTGTGCACTCGCGAGCTGTGTGTAGCCTGCATGTTCACTCCTCCGCTAAGTCTACGCTAACCCTCTGCCTGCCTGATCCGTCCCCAAACCCCGTCGCACTGGTTTCTACAAACGCATCAAGAATCTCCGACTTTCGGTCATCGCGCGATTCATACTGCCCAGGATTTTCAGAAAAAGTGAGCATCAAACCTCCACGTTTGTTTTCCCAGTGGGATGTGTCTGTTGTCAAAGTGGATCTTTTCAAGTCTTTTGAACCATTTCACTTTTGTTTCTGGTTCTGGTATTGTCGTATTTTAGTTATTTGATTCGGATGTCGTTAACTGTGCGGTTGTTGGATCCAAACAGCGGAAAACGGCTCGAGAAACGGGCTTCAGAAGTTTGCGAAATCCATAACTGGTTCAGTCCTGGTTTAGTCCTGGTTTAGACCTGGTTTAGACCTGGTTTAGTCCTGGTTTAGACCTGGTTTAGACCTGGTTTAGTCCTGGTTTAGTCCTGGTTTAGTTCTGTTTTATTCCTGGTTCAGTCTTGGTTCAGTCCTGGTTTAGTCCTGGTTTAGACCTGGTTTAGTCCTGGTGTAGTCCTGGTTTAGTTCTGTTTTATTCCTGGTTCAGTCTTGGTTCAGTCCTGGTTTAGACCTGGTTTAGTCCTGGTTTAGACCTGGTTTAGACCTGGTTTAGTCCTGGTTTAGTCCTGGTGTAGTCCTAGTTTAGACCTGGTTTAGACCTGGTTTAGTCCTGGTGTAGTCCTAGTTTAGACCTGGTTTAGTCCTGGTTTAGTTCTGGTTTAGTCCTGGTTTAGACCTGGTTCAGTCCTGGTTTAGTCCTCGTTGTGTCGTCGTTGTGTGTGACTGTAAACCTCTGTTCAAACTGTTTCTCTTCCCAACAGAATTGAAAAATAGTGAAAGGTGAAGGTGATGGGCAGGATTGATCCACAGGAAGAACCAAAAAGGAAACATTTTTCTGACTAAATCATCCCGAGTTTACAGTGAACATTTTGTATGTGGAGCAACAACAAAGCAAAATCCCGTTTGTTAATGTAGAGGAGCAGAAGACAAACAGACTGAGCTGCACTTTCTTGTTCTTGTGGTTTTACAGCAACATCACGTCTTGGTCTCTTTGCAGTGGAAGGTGTTTCTTGGTGAACAGTTGGTGACTTTTGCTTTGGTGTTGACTTTTTAAATTCATAACTGAGGTTGAGTGAGGGATCGGATTTTGTTTTGTTGTCGCTCCACATACAAAATGTTCCCTGCAAACTCGGGATGATTTAGTCAGTCAAATGTTTCCTTTTTGGTTCTTCCTGTGGATCAATCCTGCCCATCACCTTCACCTTTCACTATTTTTCAATTCCGTTGGGAAGAGAAACAGTTTGAACAGAGGTTTGAGTCACACACATCTGATTCACTTTTGTATTTGTGGAGTTCGCAAACTTCTGAAGTCCAGGACTGAACCAGGACTGAATTAGGGCTGAACCAGGACTAAAACAGGGCTGAACCAGGACAAACCAGGACTAAAACAGGACTAAACCAGGGACTAAACCAAGACTGAACGAGGACTAAATCAGGACTAAACCAAGGGACTGAAATTAGGACTGATCTAGGACTAAACCAGGTCTAAATCAGGCCGGACCCAGGGCTGAACCAGGACTAAAACAGGACTAAACCAAGACTGAACGAGGACTAAACCAGGACTGAACAAGGGCGTAAACCAAGACTGAATGAGGACTAAATCAGGACTAAACCAGGACTTAATTAGGGCTGAACCAGGACTGAATTAGGACTGATCCAGGACTAAACCAGGACTAAATCAGGCCGGACCCAGGGCCGAACCAGGACTGAAACAGGACTAAACCAGGGACTAAACCAAGACTGAAAGAGGACTAAACCTGGACTGAACTGGGACTGAACGAGGACTGAATTAGGTCTGATCTAGGACTAAACCAGGACTAAACCAGGCCTGACCCAGGGCTGAACCAGGACTGAAACAGGTCTAAACCAGGACTAAACCAGGACTAAACCAGGGACTAAACCAAGACTGAAAGAGGACTAAACTGGGACTGAACGAGGACTGAATGAGGACTGAATTTGGACTGATCTAGGACTAAACCAGGACTAAATCAGGCCGGACCCAGGGCTGAACCAGGACTGAAACAGGACTAAACCAGGGACTAAACCAAGACTGAAAGAGGACTAAACTGGGACTGAACGAGGACTGAATTAGGACTGATCTAGGACTAAACCAGAGCTGAACCAGGACTGAACNTTTTGCTTTGGCGTTGACTTTTTTAAATTCGTAACCAAGGTTGAGCGACGGATCGGGATTTTGTTTTGTTGTCGCTCCACATACAAAATGTTCACTGTAAACTCGGGATGATTTCTTAGTCAGTCAAATGTTTCCTTTTTGGTTCTTCCTGTGGATCAATCCTGCCCATCACCTTCACCTTTCACTAATTTTTCAATTCTGTTATGAAGAGAAACAGTTTGAACAGAGGTTTGAGTCACACACATCTGATTCACTTTTGCATTTATGGAGTTCGCAAACTTCTGAAGTCCAGGACTGAACCAGGACTAAACAGGGCTGAAACAGGACTGGACTAAAAGGGACTAAACAGGGCCTAAACCAAGGACTAAATGAACCAGGACACCAGGACTAAAACAGGACTAAACCAAGACTGAACGAGGACTAAATCAGGACTAAACCAAGACTGAATTAGGACTGATCTAGGACTAAACCAGGTCTAAATCAGGCCGGACCCAGGGCTGAACCAGGACTAAAACAGGACTAAACCAAGACTGAACGAGGACTAAACCAGGACTGAACAAGGGCGTAAACCAAGACTGAATGAGGACTAAATCAGGACTAAACCAGGACTTAATTAGGGCTGAACCAGGACTGAATTAGGACTGATCCAGGACTAAATCAGGCCGGACCCAGGGCCGAACCAGGACTGAAACAGGACTAAACCAGGGACTAAACCAAGACTGAAAGAGGACTAAACTGGGACTGAACTAGGACTGAACGAGGACTGAATTAGGTCTGATCTAGGACTAAACCAGGACTAAACCAGGCCTGACCCAGGGCTGAACCAGGACTGAAACAGGAAACCAGGACTAAAACCAGGACTAAACCAGGACTAAACCAGACTGAAAGAGGACTAAACTGGGACTGAACGAGGACTGAACGAGGACTGAAAGGACTGAGGAATCTAGGACTAAACCAGGACTAAATCCAGGACTAAACCAAGACTGAAAGAGGACTAAACTGAGGACTAAACTGAAACGAGGACTGAGAGACTGAATGAGACTGAATTAGGACTGATCTAGGACTAAACCAGGACTAAATCAGGCCGGACCCAGGGCCGAACCAGGACTGAAACAGGACTAAACCAGGGACTAAACCAAGACTGAAAGAGGACTAAACTGGGACTGAACGAGGACTGAATTAGGACTGAACGAGGACTGAATTAGGACTGATCTAGGACTAAACCAGGACTAAACCAGGACTAAAAGGACTAAACAGGACCCAGACTGACTGAAACTGGACTGACTGAACAGGACTGAAACAGGACTAAACCAGGGACTAAACCAAGACTGAAAGAGGACTAAACTGGGACTGAACGAGGACTGAATTAGGACTGATCTAGGACTAAACCAGAGCTGAACCAGGACTGAACCAGTTATGGATTTCGCAAACTTCTGAAGCCCGTTTCTCGAGCCGTTTTCCGCTGTTAGGATCCAACAACCGCACAATCACGAAGTCCGATTTCCCAAAACTAAAATATGACAATATCAGAACCTGAAACAAAAGTGATTTGGTTCAAAAGACTTGAAAAGATCGACACATCTCACTGGGAAAACAAACATGGAGGTTTGACGCTCACTTTTTTTGGAAAATCCTTCCCAGTATAAATTGCGCGATGACCGGAAGTCGGAGATTCTTGATGCGTGTATTGTTTTCCCTGACGTTGGCATGTGTGTGTGTGGTGCTGCTGACTCATCCTGCGGTACTGTTGCATGCTGGGTAGATTCCTCCTGACTTTGTGCTCTCTTTCTCTCTGTCCCCTGCCTCTTTTTTTTTTTCTTTTCTGTTCGTTCACTTTTTTTTTTTAGCAAATCTGTTTTCAGTAAAAGCTTGGATATCACAAACGCTAACTGCAGCAAGGAGGAGAGGTACTGCCCCCTACAGGCCAGCCAGCGCCGGCTCATGTCCATCTCATTCTAATCGAGCACCCGTCCGTCCATCTCCCCGTGGCCTAGTTTCACTTTCACTGTGTCTGTGTGTGCGCTGTTTGACCCTGAGCATGTTCACTGCCTCACCGTCTGTCCAGAGCTGCGACTAGAGCCTCTTCTAAATGCTCAAAATATATTCAAAAAAGAAGAAGATTAGAATGGAAATGTTTGTCATTTGAGCGGGCACCAGTTCGTCCTGTTAAAAAATAACAAAAAACAAAAAAATCCTACAACTTCAATGTCAAACTGGAGCTGAAAACAAACTGCACAGGCTCAAAATATCTGCAGGACGGTTCTATAGTGACCTGAAGGACCAGGACTGAACCAGGACTGAACCAGAATGGTCCAGCGGGTGACCGCAGGAAAAAGGACCAGTTCAGAGCTCCGGTCATGGTTTAGTCCTGGTTCAGCTCTGGTTTAGACCTTGTTTAGTCCTGGTTTAGTCCTAGTTTAGACCTGGTTTAGACCTGGTTCAGTTTTGGTTTAGACATGGTTTATTCCTGGATTAGACCTGGTTTAGTCCCGGATGAGTTCTGCGTTAGTTCTGGTTTAGTCCTGGTTTAGTCCTGGTTCAGCTCTGTTTTAGACCTGGTTCAGTTCTGGTTTAGACCTGGTTTAATCCTGGTTCAATACTGGTTTAGTCTTGGTTTAGTCCTGGTTTAGTCCTGGTTTAGTCCTGGTGTAGTCCTGGTTTTCCTGTTGGTGTTAGTCCTGGTTTAGTCTGGTTTGTCCTGGTTTGTCCTGGTAGTCCTGGTTTAGTCCTGGTATAGTCCTGGTGTAGTCCTGATGTAGTCCTGGTTTAGTCCTGATGTAGTCCTGGTTTAGTCCTGGTGTAGTCCTGGTTTAGTCCTGGTGTAGTCCTGGTTTAGTCCTGGTGTAGTCTTGGTTTAGTCTTGGTTTAGTCCTGGTTTAGTCCTGGTGTAGTCTTGGTTTAGTCCTGGTTTAGTCCTGGTGTAGTCCTGGTTTAGTCTTGGTTTAGTCCTGGTTCAGTTCTAGTTCAGCTCTGATTTAGTCCTGGTTTAATCCTGGTTCAGTTCTAGTTCAGCTCTGGTTTAGTCCTGGTTTAGTCCTGGTTTAGTTCTAGTTCAGCTCTGGTTTAGTCCTGGTTTAGTCCTGGTGTAGTCTTGGTTTAGTCCTGGTTTAGTCCTGGTTTAGTCCTGGTGTAGTCTTGGTTTAGTCCTGGTTTAGTCCTGGTGTAGTCTTGGTTTAGTCCTGGTTTAGTCCTGGTTTAGTCCTGGTTTAGTCCTGGTTTCGGGCACTTTTGGGTTAATTTCAATCTCAATAAAAAGATTAAAATCAGCAGTTTTTCTTCTCCCTTGACTACAGAATTATAAACAGCAAAAAGTGGAGAGTTAAACATTTTCTCAGGGTTTATATGAGTCCAATCTGTTCTAGAGTTAATTTAACATTTTTGGAAATGTTAATCAAGTAAAACTGGACCAAAGTTCCTGTTAAACCCTGAAATCCCGAGTTATTTTAATGTTTTGAGAGTAAACAGATAACACTTTGTAGAGTTATTCTAATTTAACTAAACAACACAAAGAGGTGTTTTATTTTTACACTTTATTTTAGTTCATTTAAGATGAAATTATGAAAAAAAAAAACTGGTTTCAGTGGTGGAGTTGGCAATTTGGGGGCCCAAGGTGAACTTGAGTTTGGGGCCCTCAGTATAATGTGTTTTTTTTTTTTTTTTTTTTTTTTTTATATTTATTGTCTGTTTTTCCACATTGTTCTTGAGATATGCACATCTCTATTTATTTGAATTATGGTGGACTGGAAACTTGTCTTATTAGTTCGGTCCCTACAAGAAAACCAGAACTGAAAGTAGTTTTATTTTTTTGCTAGTACAATTAAATTTTTGCTTACATCCATTATATATGATTATTATTTTTATTATTATTATTATTTAAAAGTAAACTACTCTCATTTAATGTCATATTGAGAGAAAATCTAATTACTCTGAGGCCTCGGTCATTTGTGGCTCTGAGGACAATTGGTCTGGGGCCCCTCCAGGTTTGGGGGCCCTATGCAGCTGACTACTTTTGTCTAATGGTAGCGCCGCCTCTGACTGGTTCAAACTGGTCTCCTCTCTCGCCGGAGGTGGAAGTGTTGGGTGTGAGGAACCAAATTAACACTAGGGGATGTTGAATTAACTTCAACCACATCAATTCTCTCAAATAAGCCCAACTCAAACCCCCATGTACCGTTCAAATAGTTAAAATAACACTTTCTGTGTTAAAAACAATTAATTTTAACCCTCCAGTTTTTGCTGTGCACAGGGCTTCAAGTGTAAATCGTTCTCACTATTGGAGTGAGTTCGGGGAAGAACAAGAAGTTATCAGAAACTGTAAAAACTGTTTCCAAATCCTTCAAACTAAAACTCATGAGAAAACAGGAGCTTAACTTAAACCCTGGAGTCACGATTAAACTCATAGGACACATTCAATTCTGTCACTGGGCAAAAGCAGTTTTTTATTTATTTATTATTATTAATTTATTAATGTATGTTATTATTATTATTATTATTATTATTATTATTATTATTATTATTATTATTATTATTATTATTATTATTATTATTATTATTATTATTATTATTATTATTATTATTATTATTATTTTATGTTTTTATTTATTTATTTTGTCCACTTGACAGAATTTAATCTCTGCTTTGCGATGGACCCTTCCTGGACGACTGAGGGATTTTACAAACGCTTAGAAAGTGACACAAAGCTGCACACTTACAGAAAATATTGTGGAGGGCCGAGCCAAAACACTTAACTCAATTCTGCACAATATGAACTGAATTTCTTTATAAAAAAAAAAAGCAGTAAATATCATTGTTTTGACGAGCTGCTCAGACTGGGGAGAGTTTATGTTATGACTCAGCAGTGAAAAAGTGAGACCGCCTTACAAAAAAAGTCATGAAAAAAACACTTCAAAAATAAAAGTAATGCAGCTTTAATCCATGAATGAGGTAAAATGATCAAATATGTTTATTTTGTAATTCCAAATGAGCTTAAACGGGCCGGTCAGAGTCGATTTAGACAATTGTACAGATGTATTTTGCAGAGGACAGTTACTTTTTTATTGTATTGCTGCTGCTGGTGTTGCCCAAGTCACTGTATTCAGTAACTGTAGCTTCATTCCAGTATTTCCACATGAGGCGTTACACTGGAGTCTGTAAATTATGATGTATCACTGAAAGGACCGAGGAGGTAAATTACACTAAACTGTGGAGCCGCGCGTCTTTAAACATGATGAAGTGTTTGATTTTGTCTTTACGCTGGTCCAGACTGTCTTTGTGTAATTATACTTCAGGACGAGAGCTCACGCCCACACGAGGAAGAGGCAGGGGCAGAGACAGGAGCAGAGAGCAGGAGCAGAGGCAGGAGCAGAGACAGGAGCAGAGACAGGAGCAGAGAGACAGAGACAGAGACAGGAGCAGCAGAGCAGAGGAGGCAGAGAGACAGAGGAGCAGAGAGCAGGAGCAGAGACAGGAGCAGAGACAGGAGCAGAGCAGAGAGCAGAGACAGGAGCAGAGACAGGAGCAGAGGCAGAGAGAGGCAGGAGCAGAGAGAGACAGGAGCAGAGACAGGAGCAGAGACAGGAGCAGAGGAGCAGGAGCAGTGACAGGAGCAGAGACAGGAGCAGAGAGACAGGAGCAGAGACAGGAGCAGAGACAGGAGCAGAGGCAGGAGAAGAGAGCAGGAGCAGAGGCAGGAGCAGAGGCAGGAGAAGAGACAGGAGCAGAGACAGGAGCAGAGAGAGCAGAGACAGGAGCAGCAGGAGCAGAGACAGGAGCAGGAGCAGAGACAGGAGCAGAGGCAGGAGCAAGAGAGAGGAGGAGAGACAGGAGCAGAGACAGGAGCAGAGACAGGAGCAGAGACAGGAGCAGAGGAGCAGAGAGCAGGAGCAGAGACAGGAGCAGAGAGCAGAGAGAGAGAGCAGGAGCAGGAGAGGACAGGAGCAGAGACAGGAGCAGAGCAGGAGCAGAGAGCAGGAGCAGAGACAGAGAGAGAGACAGGAGCAGAGAGACAGGAGCAGAGGCAGGAGCAGAGAGAGCAGAGAAGAGCAGGAGAGACAGAGACAGGAGCAAGACAGGGAGCAGAGAGCAGGAGCAGAGACAGGAGCAGAGACAGGAGAGAGCAGAGACAGGAGCAGAGACAGGAGCAGAGACAGGAGCAGAGAGGAGCAGGAGCAGAGAGAGCAGGAGCAGAGAGCAGGAGCAGAGAGGAGCAGGAGCAGAGACAGGACAGAGCAGAGAGCAGGAGCAGAGACAGAGCAGGAGCAGAGACAGCAGAGACAGAGGCAGCAGGAGACAGGAGCAGAGAGACAGGAGCAGAGACAGGAGCAGAGGCAGGAGCAGAGACAGGAGCAGAGACAGGAGCAGGAGAGAGAGCAGGAGCAGAGACAGGAGCAGAGGACAGGAGAGCAGAGAGACAGGAGCAGAGAGCAGGAGCAGAGAGCAGGAGAGAGGAGCAGAGGCAGAGCAGAGACAGGAGCAGAGAGAGACAGGAGCAGAGGCAGGAGCAGAGAGGACAGGAGCAGAGACAGGAGCAGAGGGACAGGAGGAGACAGAGACAGGAGCAGAGAGAGACAGGAGCAGAGCAGGAGCAGAGGAGCAGAGACAGGAGAGAGGAGCAGGAGCAGGAGGCAGGAGCAGAGAGACAGGAGCAGAGACAGGAGCAGAGAGGACAGGAGCAGAGAGAGAGAGCAGGAGCAGAGACAGGAGAAGAGAGAGAGAGACAGGAGAGCAGGAGCAGTAGAGAGCAGGAGCAGAGGCAGGAGCAGAGACAGGAGCAGAGAGCAGGAGCAGAGACAGGAGAGACAGGAGAGAGGAGAGCAGAGACAGGAGCAGAGACAGGAGCAGAGGAGCAGAGAGAAGAGCAGGAGCAGAGAGCAGGAGCAGAGGCAGGAGGAGACAGAGCAGAGAGGAGCAGAGACAGGAGCAGAGACAGGAGCAGAGACAGGAGCAGGACAGAGAGACAGGAGCAGAGAAGAGAGCAGAGACAGAGCAGGAGCAGAGCAGAGGCAGAGCAGGAGACAGGAGCAGAGCAGGAGCAGAGACAGGAGCAGAGACAGAGCAGAGAGACAGGAGGCAGAGACAGGAGCAGAGACAGAGAGGAGCAGGAGAGAGACAGGAGCAGAGACAGGAGCAGAGAGAGCAGGAGGAGCAGGAGAAGACAGGAGCAGAGAGACAGGAGCAGAGACAGGAGCAGAGGAGCAGGAGCAGAAGACAGGACAGCAGAGACAGGAGCAGCAGGAGCAGGGAGCAGGACAGGAGCAGAGAGCAGAGAGCAGGAGAGACAGGAGCAGAGACAGGAGCAGTGACAGGAGGAGCAGAGACAGGAGCAGTGACAGGAGCAGAGCACAGGAGCAGAGGAGAGACAGGAGCAGTGACAGGAGCAGAGACAGGAGCAGTGACAGGAGCAGAGACAGGAGAGCAGAGACAGGAGAAGAGACAGGAGCAGGAGCAGACAGGACAGGAGCAGAGAGCAGAGAGCAGAGACAGGAGCAGTGGAGCAGAGAGCAGGAGCAGAGACAGGAGCAGAGACAGGAGCAGTGACAGGAGCAGGAGGAGCAGGAGCAGAGGCAGGAGCAGAGACAGGAGCAGAGACAGGAGCAGAGACAGGAGCAGAGGCAGGAGCAGAGAGCAGGACAGGAGCAGGAGCAGAGAGACAGGAGCAGAGAGCAGGGAGCAGAGACAGGAGCAGTGACAGGAGCAGACAGGAGCAGAGACAGGAGCAGACAGAGCAGTGACAGGAGAGCAGAGGCAGAGGCAGAGACAGGAGGAGAGCAGAGAGCAGAGAGCAGGAGCAGAGACAGGAGCAGAGGAGCAGGAGCAGTGACAGGAGCAGAGGAGCAGGAGCAGGAGCAGGAGCAGAGACAGGAGCAGAGACAGGAGCAGTGACAGGAGCAGAGACAGGAGCAGAGGAGCAGAGCAGGAGCAGGAGCAGGAGCAGAGGAGCAGAGACAGGAGCAGTGACAGGAGCAGAGTGACAGGAGCAGACAGGAGCAGAGGAGACAGAGCAGGAGCAGGAGCAGTGACAGGAGCAGAGACAGGAGCAGTGACAGGAGCAGGACAGCAGTGACAGAGCAGTGACAGGAGCAGAGCAGAGACAGGAGCAGTGACAGGAGCAGGAGCAGAGACAGGAGCAGAGAGCAGAGTGAGGAGCAGTGACAGAGCAGGAGCAGAGACAGGAGCAGTGACAGGAGCAGCAGGAGCAGGAGCAGAGCAGGAGCAGAGAGCAGGAGCAGGAGCAGGACAGAGAGGAGCAGAGGAGCAGTGACAGTGACAGGAGCACAGGAGCAGAGGCAGGAGCAGAGACAGGAGCAGTGACAGGAGCAGAGACAGGAGCAGTGACAGACAGGAGCAGGACAGGAGCAGAGAGCAGGAGCAGTGACAGGAGCAGTGACAGGAGCAGTGACAGGAGCAGACAGGAGCAGTGACAGGAGCAGTGACAGGAGCAGGGGGAGTGAGGGATGAGGAGCTGTTAAAGCTGCTGACGCAAGAATCTCACTGATGTAAAACAAGTTTATTTTAGTCTAAAGACGAGAGCTGAACCAGGACTGAACCAGGACTAAAACACTAAAGAGGACTAAAACTAAACCAGGACTAAAACAGGACTGAACCAGGACTAAAACAGGACTAAAACAAAACAGGACTAAAACAGGACTGGACTAAAACAGGACTAAAACTGGACTAAACCAGGACTAAACCAGGACTAAACCAGGACTAAAACAGGACTAAAACAGGACTTAACAAGCACTAACCCAGTACTAAACTAGGTCTAAAACAGGTTTAAACCAGGACTAAACCAGAGCTAAACCAGGACTGAACCAGGTCTAAATCTTCATTAAACCAGTTCTGACCCAGTACTAAACCAGGTCTAATCCCAGGACTAAACCACATCTCTTAGACGCTAATCATTCGAGACCTCAGACCTCAGACCTCTGAATACCTCAGAGCCCAATTAAACCAGGACTAAACAAGAACTATCCCAAGACTAAACCAGGTCTAAACCAGGACTAACTCAGGATTAAACTACGTCTATTTCAGGACTAAACCAGAACTAAACAAGGACTAACCCAGAACTAAACCAGGTCTAAAAACCCAGGACTAAATCAGTACTAAACCAGGACTAAACCAGGACTTACCCAGGACTAAACCAGGACTACAGGTTAAATCAGAAGAACGTGGTAAATGTGTCACTGATCTCCAGAAATGTGCTGTTGTGTTTTGACAGTGAATCTCAGACTTTTGTGTAATAATATTTATATTTTATTTTGATTTAAATATGTAAATGTGTAAATATAAATGTGTGAATGTCATTTTCTCTCATCTCATCACCTCTCATCTGACTCCATCTTCCCTCGACTTCTCTAACTGAACAACAACAAATAACTCAAAATACACCGCAAAAACATCACATTATCTGTTAAAATGACTTGAATTTTGGATCATTATTTTGAGTAATTTAGTTTGGTGAATATTTCTGACTAGTTTCAATTTCAAAATGATCTAAATTACACTTTTTACATCAATGAAAAGTCTTACTGGTCAAAAATATCTTGTAAAAACCGTGCAGTCGTCCTGTGAACGGACTTGCCTCTGCGCAGATCTGATGCTTGTCTCCTTGGGGATAGATATTTTTAATGTTATACTGTGTAACATTCCAGGCGAAGCTATAACATCTCCTGTTGCATATTGCACTATTTTCTGATCTATGTTATAATGTTGTTTCGTCGTCACAAACAGCCCTGGAGTTGTGTTTTGTTTCATTCACACACAAAACCTGCAGATTTACACCGAGTTCTGAGTCTCAAACACACAAAAAACACTCTGTTCCACCTTGTGATGTCACATGGTAATACAGGAAGTGCTCCATTGTGTTTTTAAACCCCACACCGTCAACAGAATCATTTGGATGATTTCAGGTGTGGAACAGACGATCTCCACTGAACTAAACATATAAAACAGACATGTCAAACTCAGGCCTGGGGGCCAGATTTGGTCCGCAGTATAATAATATTTGGCCTGTGAAATCATATCAAATCTGTATCAGAGCTGCCCTCTGTCTATAGATAAACTATAGAGACATTATTTATTTAAACTGTTGTTATTATTTTATATTCTGCTTGTTCAAGAGTCACTGTTTAAGCAAAATTATTATTAAACATTTATTTTAATAAGAAAAGGTTTAACATTACATATCTCGAAAGAAGAGAAAACATGCAGAAGTTGTTGAAATGTTTCAGTAAATATTTAGTTTGATCAATTAATTAATTACTTAATCATTGCATTTATTCAGCACCTTTCAAGAGCCAAAGCACTTTCCAGTTCATTATTCAGTCACTCAACACTCACAGTTGCCCTGGGGCAGAGGCTGCCAATCTGCGCCATCGGCCCCTCCGACCAACACCATCACTCACACACACACCACTTTCACACTAGGCAATGTGGGTGAAGTGTCTTGCCTAAGGACACAATGATAGTTTTTTGTGACTGGTGCCTCACTGTGGCTCCTGAGTTTCCCAGTGTCTCCATCCAAGTCCAGACCCGACCTCTGAGCTTCTGAGACCTGACGGGATCAGACTTTGACAAACCGCTTTGGCCACACGACTTTTTAATTTAGTCCCTCTGTGAATCTGAGTTTGACCCCCCTCATATAAAGTAAAGCTGTGAACTTGAAAACTACCGCTTCATGACATCACAAGGTGGAACAGAGCATTTTGAGCATTTTAAGGTTTTACTCAAACACGTCTGACTGAAACAAAACACAACTCCAGGTCTGTTTTTGAGGTGGTAACAACATTATAACACGACTTGAAGCTCACAGGGTCAGTTTTGCGTAATATCAGACTTTTAATAGAGATAATAAATAAATAAACTCAAAATTGTCATTCAGAATTCTTGTCATTTTAACACTTTTATATATTTTTGCGGTGTATAAACATGAGTGCGTTAAAATCCTTCTCATTTGAACCTTGTTTTGCCGTCCAGGTCCAGGTCGATCAGTGGAGCGTCCTCAGGCCTGTCCACCAGTCCTCTGAGCAGCCCCAGGGTAAGTGCACTCACCCTCCCTCACCACACGGGGCGCTGTTCTCCTCTCTCACTGCAGGTCTCACACAGCTCACCCCAGCCTCCCAGTCTCCCCTCTGTCCAGCCAGGTTTGAAACACGAAACGAGGGACGGCTCATTTACGATCGCTCATTTACTCAGAGCATCTACGGGAAAATACAGATGCACAGACGAACCATCGCGCTCGGTCTCTGCTGCTGGGTTTCACATTCTTCAACGTGATGATTTATGTCCGTCAACGTGACTTTTTTACTATCGATACCTGTGAAAAATGAGTTTCTAGTTTCAACACTGTTTCTAGTTTTGATTAGTATTTGATTCAATAGATTTGACCCTAACGAACCCGAACAGAAATCTGACTTTTGAATAATATTTATTTTAGCCATCCCCATTTGTATTGAATTTTATTGATCTATAGAATCTGAAATCCAGCAGTTTTTTCATGGTCAAAGAAACGAGGCTTTAAACTGTATAGATCTTAGTGTAATATAATACACAGAATAACTTACAGTAGGAAAATCAAATGTGTTTAAAGTGCATATGACAGGTTGGACTACTCATTTTACTAAACAGTTGTTCAATTATTTTTTCTGAGTTTCGGGATTTTTTTCAGTCTTAAATTTTACTTTCTAGTTGGAAATCATAACATCACACCACAAAACTGTAATAAAAACTGGAAGATGAATCCAAGATATCGTCGTGATGTTTTCAGTGGCCTGTGCTCATTGGCGCCACCTTGTGCCTCCGCTCAATTTAATTTCTCTCCAGCGACTAGGTCAGGAATCAGAATACACTAGACGGTTTGTAAAAACCCCAGAAGTTGTAGACCACAAGGAGCTGTGAAGTCATGACGTCAAACTGGTCATGTCTGTCTGCATCCATTTTGTGGAACAGCACAACAGTAAACAAAGCGTCGAGATGAATGTAGACAAAGACAGACATTCTGTGTTGGCAACGATTCCCCAGATCAAGGATTTTCACTTTCTGCTTTGTTTACTGTTGTGCCGGTAATTACTTGGACACCACTGAGCTTTCCAGCACATTACACGACCAAACAGCAGCGACTGGTTAAATAAAAAAGTACCCACCAACTGTCGAGCGAACAAATCTTAATGCTGCGAGGTCAGACAGTTTCTACAAAGTGAAACTGACTGATGAATCAGGCTGGTGCTCATTAGCGCATCACGCTAAAAACGAATTTTACTTCCGTGTTACTTCCTGAATACTGGTCTTAAGCCACCAGACGTGTGACATCAGAAACATGCAGTTCTGACCAATCAGAGCGAGGCTGGTTTAAGTCTTACAAAGCTGACTTTTAGGTGCTTTGACATTATACATTTTTTTAAAAGTTCATATTGTAAAAAAAAAAACAGAAGAATCCCGACAAAATCCAGGCTTTATGAAAGCTCTGGATGTCCTGTCAGCCGAACACGGGCAGTTTGATTTCACAATAAATGCAATGTGCTTCTATTGGACAATTCTCTCTAGGCCGGAGCTCCCGGGAGCTGCAGTACCCAGAGCGACCACTAGTCGGTCTTGCTCGTGGTCAGAGTCTTATCAAGTTCTAGGGAATTTAATAACTTTTACCTATTTACCATCTTGTATGCTCGACCAAATCTCTTCTGATGCACATGGAAATTTGACAAATAAATCAGTAATTTTCCTAAAGTTTTTTTCAGCTTTTCTCCTTCTTGATTTGTGTAAAACTATAATTTATATTTACAATAGTTATAATCCCACCAAGTTAAGTTAGAAAATCGTCCAAACCTGTCATACGCACTTTAAAATAATCAAATCTGTCACATTTTCGTATATACTTTAATTCAAATCCACCTTCATTTTCTATCTGAAATCTGTCTTCCCTGCACACGAGTCCACAGACCTCGGTTTGAGAATCGTCTCTGTCTTGTTGGTCTAGTTTTCTTGAACAGATGTAAGAGCAGTTTAAAGCCTGACGGTACTTTTAAACACCAGATGAAGAGAACAGCTTCATCAAACTCACATCAACACACACTCCATTTTCTCATACAGCTGATATTAGTGACTGGTTTATTAATTATATCTTTGTGATTCTCATTTGGATCCCTGCCTGACGATGACACACATGCCACAAATATTAATATAAAAATGTTTTAAAAGGCTCATATTACGCTATTCTCTGATCTACTGTGTGTTCTAATGTCACAAACAGACCTGGAGTTGAGTTTTGTTTTATTCACACACGTTTAACGCACAAACCTGCACATTTACGCTGAGTTCTGAGTTTGAAACACAAAAACAAACTCTGTTCCACCTTGTGATGTCATGTGGTAATACAAAAAGTGCTCCACTGTGTTTTTAAACTCCATACGCCTGCACTAGAATCATCTGAATAATTTCAGTCCTGGAATTAACAAGCTCTACTAAATAAAATGCATAATAATAATAATAATAATAATAATAATAATAATAATAATAATAAATAAATAAGAAGAAATAAGAAAACTATCATTTCATGAGTTTAGAACTGTCACTTGTTATTGTTTTTTCTCTGTTAAATTTGTGGTGTTACCTACCAAGGGACTACAGATGGAAATGAGTTTTCTTGTTATAATCTGTCATATTTACACTGTAATGTTGTAGCTGTTCATTAATATGCACTGTCCCTATTAAATAAATAAATAAATGACCAGTGTTGGGTGTAACACGTTAGAGTAACATAACTACTTTTTTGGGGTAAAAATACTGTAATATGCTACTGCTGAAAATTTGGTAACAAAAAGTAGTTCCTTTTTCAATTTTCATTTCAAATTTTTGCAATGTTACTTTGCTGTGCACACGGGCCTGTCCCTGCCCTGGTGACATGATCTAGTTGGGGAAGACCAAAGGACAGTCCACCCCTGTCCAGAGTCACGCCGGGAGCAGGGGGGGCCCGTTCTCACCCAGGCGGAGACGGGAAGCGGCGAGGCCTTGACGGGAGGAGCTGTAAAGCACTCCTCGAGCCTTTCCGGGCCAACCCAGAGTCGGTCACAGCGCACCGCCTCAGAGGAAGTCCACTTGGCGAGGGCCAGCAACGTGTGGGGAGAGGTCTCTTGAGGGGATCCACCCGCATAGAGCAGCCGTCCCTCGCTCGAGTTGAATCCCCGGGCAGACCGTGCAGACTAGGGATGGGCATGATTAATCGATAATTGATCATTAAGAATTTCATCGATTACGTTCATTTTAATCGACAAACCGAATGTAGGTTGCTGTGCGTAGTGTGACCAAACAGGTGTCATGTAGCTCTTTGCACTCAGAAGGAGCGAGACACAAACAGTGGGTCAGTCTGCAACGTACAGAAGCACAAATGTGTATTTAACGATGATTTGTACAAGAAATTCCACACTTTCCGTTGCGTTCGGGACAAGTGTGAGTCCATGTGCACAGTGTATAAAGCAGCACATATGTTTCGGTGTCCAGTGGGAAAAAGTTTTGCCAGGTGAGAGTCGCGCAATGTCGATGACGAGTCCCCACCTCCCTCCCCCCGTACGATGTCCTGGTTTTGACAAACGCAAATCTGGTCACACTAACCTGTATTCACCTGAGTCATGTCTTTTAATCCGACAGAAATTGACCGCATCAGCGACACAAGAGCTGCAGTTTTATCTTCGCTTAGTTTCTGCAAATTAGCGATGCGGTTTTAAGTTTCGTTTTTGTGAGAGTTGCGCAAAACTGCGTTAAACACATTATAATGTCAAACGGGCTGATGTGGCTCTAGAGTCATTACGGTTTATATGTCGTAAAGTTGAATTTATTTATGCAGGTTAGTAGTGCAGATAGTAATAATAATGATGATCATTTTAATATAAACACGTTAATGATTAATCGATAATCGATCGTTAATTCTTCCGACGATCGATTAAGAAAATTTCATCGAATGCCCATCCCTAGTGCAGACCCCACCCGTTTTCATCTTAACAGTTTCACGGTTACAAATTGACTCAGGGTTCGAACAAGAGGGAGTCCACACATGTTTAAAAACCCCACCCATCTTAACAGTTTCACGTCCTCTTGAACTCTCTCTTCAAAGTTCTTTTCAACGTTCCCTCACGGTTCCTTGTCGACTATTGGTCTCGTCTGGTATTTCGCCTGAGCTGGTCGCAGTGCACCGTCTCAGAGCAAGTGCACTCGGCGAGGGCCAGCGACATGTGGGGAGAGGTCCCTCGAGGGGATCCGCCCGCATCGAGCAGCCGTCCCTCGCTCGAGTTGAATCCCCGGGCAGACTGTGCAGACCCCACCTGTTTTCATCTTAACAGTTTCACTGATACGAACAAGTGGGTTCAAGTGGCCTCAGGGTTCGAACAAGAGGGAGTCCACACATGTTTAAAAACGGTACAAAAATAGATATTTATTTAAAGGTTGTATAGAGGATTTTTTAAGGAAAGAGAAATCCAGCGACAGTCGTTGACACCACCTTCCTCCTCCACAGGTCCCTCTAGAAATAATTTAGAGACCGACACCTCAGTTTTTAGACCCTTTGTCTGCTTCAGTCGCACAATCACTGAAAGGAATCTCTAAGAATCACCTCAGTTCGTCTTCGCTCCTTTTCTTCTTCTCTTTTTCTTTCAGCGACCTCAAAAACTGACTTTCTTTTGCGGCGAACTGGTCGTCGATTCTCGTCCGACATCGCAACAAACTTTATGCAAACTGCGAGAGAGCCACAATTAGAAAAAGCCTCTGAGAACTGCTGCATAGTTAGAAACGTAGGGAGTTTGATTGACGACCTAACAGCCAATAGGAAATGAGGCAGTCTCGTTTTCTATTGGCTGATGTTTATCTGGCCTCAACACGTCCACAGTTGATAGATTTTCTTTCTTTTTTTTTTTGGTCATCATAATTACAAGGCTGCTGCGTCTCTGTAATGGTATTTTAAACTTTCATTGACAATTTGAAACTAACAAAAAATCCTCCATACAACCTTTAAAAACAGGATGCTTGCTAAGTTGTGGCTACATGGTGAAGAGGAGAGAAGAGAGAAAGTAGTCTCCATTGGACAACTTTTAAGGTTGTGAGCCACGCCCACAATCAGATGCAGCTCATTATGTTTGGCCCTTCCACTCGAATCTGGAAATACAGACTCAAGCTGGGGTCGTAACATTCACGTCCTCTTGAATTCTCTCTTCAAAATTATTTTCAACTTTCCCTTACGGTTCTTATCGACTGTCGTTCTTGTGCCGTATTTCATCTTAGATCGAATTTACACCAAAAAGTAACATAAAGAGGAACATAAAAAGTGACTTCCCATAGAGGGTTACTACATAAAGTAAGGGATTACTTTTTAAAGAAATAACGAGTAATGAGCAAACACTATTTTTTAAAGTTACATCCCCAACACTCATGACATCACAAGGTGGAACAGGGCTTTTACAGATGAAGACAGACTAATAGTTAAGTTTTACTCAAACATGTGTGAATGAAACACACCTCCATGTCTGTTTGTGAGGAGGGAACAGCATTATAACGTGACTAAAAGATCGCACAAGTGAATTCAGCGTAATATAGGACCTTTTAAAGCAACTGACGGCTAAATCACGTGTTTGGGGATGAATAACGGCACCACTTTCTGCAGATATTGTGTGAAGCCGTTGAGCTTTGCACCGGTTTTTATTCCACGTGAATCTGGCTCGTCATCCCAGAGGCACGGGTCCAAATCGGTGCAGCAGTTGTTACTTGCGTGTGGGTGTGTGTTTTTGCTGTTATGAGAAAGGCCCATTGACATCGTGCTGTTGTATTTATGATGTTGGAGCTTTTTTCATCGTGTGCTTCTGCTGCATGTGTGAGCTGTGTCCAAGAAAGACACACAGTTTGAAAAAAAAAAAAAGGAGGGATGCACCAACGGAGACGAGAGAAGGAACAGAGCAAAGAGACGAATATACAGAGCAAAGAGACGTGTAAACAAAACTATTCCAACTGCGATTCTTCTCTTACAGTTACATGCTCACGTGCCACTATATCATTGTTGATAAAAGCGCGCGTTGCATGCTGGGAATTATTTTGGTCGGCGGCAATAAACACTAATTCAACATGACGGACGGAGCGAGAAAGCACGTAAAGGGTATTGATCCCGGTTATTTATCCACTCTAACGGCAGAGGACCCAAGACCATTTGACCAGAAATTGGTCATAAGCATCGACGGACGACAAATCACCCTTTTCAACCCCGACAAAAGGTGAAACCAAACCAAATTTCTGGTCAGAATCGCCAACTACCTGGACAAATATTCACTTGGGCGACATCCACAATGACTTGGTGGAAACTCCTGGGCCATTCACAGCAGAAAAGATGAAAACCTCCAAGAGTCTCGATGTGTTGTTGAACTTGTTGGAGTCCACGGTTTGTTAGGATCTTCTACGTTTGCTCTGCGGATGTTTGAAAGCCGTTTAATTCACCGTTAGTGGTTCTTTTCACTCAGAATAAGATATTTTCCTTCTTCCGTGCTTCTATTTGTGCATCTGATAATGCAGCAGGAATTTACCATTTTCGGAGATAAATACGCGAGGTTACGCACTGTGTTTGACGCTACCGTGTTTCTTGCCTCCGACCAAAATATTTCCCAGCAGCAACGCGGGCTTTTAATAACAACGACGTCAGCTGAAACTCGCCTATATCCAGGGTCCAACTCTTTTTCGCTGACGAAATTTCAAAACGTTTCCATGACCTAAAGTGAATTTCCCATGACTTTACAGCACCTACATGTGAAGAATTGATCAAACTTTTAGGGCTAAATATGAAATATTAACTCTTTCCACTCACCTCATGGTTTGGGATTATAGTTTTTTAACTTTCGAAATACTGTCAGTGCATTTATTGTCGTCTCTTTTAAACAAAAGGCGCAAACATTCAGAAATAATTTTAATAGTGTAATGATAAGTTAACAGAACGCTGGAGTTGCGTGAAAGAGACACTAAAATCCTAGAAACTTCCATGACTTTTCCAAAACTTTCATTGAATTTACAAAATTCCGTGACTTTTCTAGGCTTGGATAATGACATTTTTAATATCCATGACTTTTCCAGGATTTCCATGACCATGGGAACCCGGTAAATCTGTCTTTTGTGTGTAGTCTAAACTTAAAAGTGTATCAGGATTCCTCTTAAGACTAAAAACATGCAAAAAACATGAATAAATTTGACTTCTACTTTAACTGTGGCTGATTAAAGATGCACTGTGTAACTTTTTGGTCAGTAGTCCTTCGTATTTAATCGCTTTGTCAGGATTGTTCCACAGTGTGACAGCTCTACTTTACATTTATTCAATTACAGGTGGTTTTATAGCTCAAAAATACCAAGAAAAACAGACATTCTGACGTGAATATGGTCGCCTCTCCGCAGATCTGACCTGTAACGTGGTCTGGATCGGTCTCCATGAAGACAGAAAGGTTTAATGTCATACGGTGAAACATTCCAGACAAAGCAATAACATTTACTTTGAGAAAAGAATTTGAAGGAGCCTCTACCAAAAAAGTGACACAGTGCACTTTTAAAGGTCCAGAAATCAGATAATAATGAGATTTGTGTCCATGTAAACACAGTCAGAGACCAGACCAACGGAAGGTCGAGTACCACAACACGAGCGCAACCGGTTCGTTTTATGTGCCTGGTAATTGAATTCAACTGAGTCCATTAATAGATCTTTTCCACAACGGTCGGAAGTGTCTCGCTGTAGGTTTGTGGAACTTCTGGTTAATGGTTTTCTGTGGCAAAATATGCGTGTAAATGTACATGCGTTCATTAGTTTTTCTGTATAAACCAAAAATTATTTATAGAATTTTGTCTCCAAAAACAAAATAAAAAAAACAGATAATGATTTGTTTTGTTTTTTCAGTTTTTCGATTTTGTGTTTAAATGAAGAATGGAAAAAAAATGGATAATGACCGTTTCCCGTTTATGTGACTTCCGTGACTGCGATGCCGGACTGAACCAGGACTGATCTAGGTCCGGGACCAGACCGGGACCAGACCGGAGGCTCAGAGCCCATGGCAGGGCTGGAGCTCGAAGCTGAGGCTCGGACCCCGCAGAGGCTCAGAGTCAAAGCTCGGAGTCCGTCCTGGTCCCGCCCTGGTCCCGCTCTGGTCCTGGACCTGGATCAGTCTTGGTTCAGTCCATATACAGTGCAAAAGTCCGGCATCGTAGTCACGGAAGTCACAAAAAACGGGAAATTCATTCAATCCATTTTTTCCATTCTTCATTTAAACACAAAATTGAAAAAAAAAAACAACAACAACAAAAAATAAAATCTTTATCTGATTTTTCATTTTGGTTTTGGAAACTTGTTTTTTTTTCATTTTCTTATTTTTGGTTTTATATTGAAAAACAAATGAACGAATGACACACAGATTTTGACTTCTCCTTGGTGCATCCCTGTCGCTGCTTCACTGCTTCACCGCCTCACTGCTGCGTCCTGATTGGATAGTCATGGCTCCACTGCTGCGTCCTGATTGGCCTGTCACGGCTCCACTGCTGCGTGCTGATTGGCTGTTCACTGGCTAATGGCATGTCTTTTCTTTCTTTCTTTCTTGCACCTCACCTCCGCTCCACCTCCACCCCTCGCCTCCTCTGTGTTTCCCGTGCTTTTGTGTTACTTCCTGCTCCTCTCTCATTGGCCGACGCTGCCGCTGCATGACCAATCGCAGCCCCACAGACGCCTCTTCGTCCCGCCCCAGTCCCCAAACCTGTGCCACTCCCCGAACTCGCCCGTCTCACCCCTGTCGCCGCTCTCGTGCGAGCCGCGACTCAACGGAATCGCCCCGAGAGCTCCGCCCGCGGGCTCCCCCCTCATGCACCCGCGCACCCAGACCCTCCCCGCTAAGCCCCGCCCCTCCGAGAAACCGCTCCAAACCACCCGCTCCAACCCGCTGCCCAGCTCCACGCCGACGTCGTCCGCGCCCAAATCCGAACCCGCCACTCCCTGCCAGCCCCTCACCCCGTGCCCGTCCCGGTGCCCCCCCATCAGCCCGAAGGTCCGCCGCCACCCCCCGCTCACCGTGCCGCCCAAACTCTCCATCCCCCTGTCCCCCGTGGCGCCCGTGTCCCCCCGCCGTCGCCACCTGCACCCAGACAGCAACGGCAAATGTGCTGCCCCCCCACAGGTGTCCCCCCGCGGCAGCCCCCTCCCCACGCCCAAAGGGACCCCCGTGCACACACCCAAGGACAGCCCGGCCGGGACGCCGAGCCCCACCCCGCCGCCCTCGCCCTCCATCGGGGGCATGCCCTGGAGGACTCGACTCAACTCCATCAAGAACAGCTTCCTGGGATCGCCGAGGTTCCGCCGGAAAATGCAGGGTAAGATTTAACGGAAGAGAGGACGGAGCGCGACAGTCCGACCCACTTCCAACACGGCAAAAAGTTCTAATGACTCAAATTAAGAACATTTCACTTTACTCGAGTAGATTCAACTTGGCAAAAAAGGATCTACCAATGAAAGACGTGTTTTTCTTAATTCAAGCAACATTTGCGCAAAGAGCTGTTGTTTTTCTTATCTTTAGTATAGCAAACTGTATTTTCATATTTTAAGTATAAAATCTTCTTACCTTTGTGGATAATTTTACTTCTCAATTGAAATTTTCTGAAATCATGATTCTACAGTTTATATAGTATAAGTAAAACAAGCGGACGACACTTGAGTCTGATCCTGAGTCCAGGCGTCCACGATCCATCAGCAGATCGTGGTGTAATTCGCCCGGCGTTGCCTCCCTGTTTTGATGAATGTGGATTATGAATGTGAATGTGGGAGGATCATTTAAGTTAAGTGTTTTTTTTATTTCCTACGAGGACGACTCAAATATACATTGAGTAATAATGTGTTTAATGCAGCTTTGAGCACATTTGTTTTTTGCATTTTACAGAAACAAAACTTCAAACCGCATGACTCATTTGCATAAACTATAAGCTCTGAAAAAAACTGCTCTTTCCTTGTGCGCTGATGCGGTTCAGCTTCTGTCGGACTTACTCCGCGAGGCTTCTGATTATGGTAGCCGTAATGCTACTGTAATGTGGTACGGCTTCGTAGTTTAGTCATACTAAAACATTTTGACAAATTTTGACATTTTGAGCGTCGCGTACTACATGAAATCAGTTCGATGTCAGTAAGTACAAACAGAATTAATAAAAAGGCGCACTGTGGGTTTTTGAGAAAATTAAAGTGATTTTAAGTGTGCCTTATAGTTTAAAAAATACGGTAGGATATGGAATTAGGTAGCAAAAAAAAAAAGTTAAATAACATTTCTTGTCTGTTAAAAGAAAGAAAGAAAAAAAGTAAGTAATCTAGATAATAACAAAATGTAAACATTGAATGAGGCGTGTCCAAAGTTTTGGCTGAGTATGTTCAAACACAAATGTAGAGAGTTTTTACTGTCTCTACATTGGAAAAAAAACAATACCTAGGTAAGATAAAATGACTTAAATTAAGAACATTTTACTTTATTTGACAAGTAAAATGATCTGCCAATGGAATAAGTGTGTTTTTCTTAAGTCAAGCAACATTCAATTTTGTTTCATATTTTAAGTGCAAAAAGTCTTGTACCACTGGCAGAAAATTTTACTTGTCAAGCGAAATTGACTCAAATCATGATAAAACTTTCTTAATTCAAGTCATTTTAAGTTGGTTAATTTTTTTTTTTTTTTTGCAGTTGTGGCATGATAGAAAATCTAGTCCAGTTCAGATGATTTGAATTAAGAAAGTTTGATCATGATTGAAGTTTGAGTCAGTTTCACTTGAAAAAGTAAAATGATCTACCAGTGGAACAAGACTTTTTGTAGTTAAAATATGAAAATACATCTTGAGACACTTAAAATAAGAAGAACAACAACTTTTTGCACTTAAAATAAGAAACGAAATCAGATGTTGCTTGAATTCAGAACAACACACTTATTCCATTGGTAGATAATTTTACTTGTCAAGTTGAATCGACTCAAATAAAGTAAAATGTTTTAAATTTAAGTTATTTTAACTAACCTAGATATTGTTTTGTTTTTTGTTTTTTCAGTGTGAGCATAATGTCTCTGTTTTAAGTCCAAAAAAAACAAGTTTAAAACATGAAATTCAGCTAAAGGTTTAATAACGTTGTGGTTTATAAAGTTTCAGAGACAGATTTTAGATAATATGATAGGTCTTGTGGTCATTAGTTATTACAGAGCTGTTGAGCCTCGAGCTTTTAGACTCGTCTGTGAAATAATGAAATGAGAAAAGCTCCTGGTGCTGGCGAAGGCGTCGCTGTGGAGCTCCATTTACTGGGATCAATATTTACTATGATTCAAGGTCTTTACATTCTCTTATATTCTGTCATTTTAGACCCAAAATAGACAAGAACACACATCCTTACTGAGAGTGTGCTCGCATCTCCACAAACCTGGCTGGTATTTGGAGGAGGGAATCTTCCTGCTCGTTGGAAATGTTGCTTCTTTGGGCAAAATATTCCATAGTTTTCCATAAAACAGAACTATCTCCATGAGAATGTTCCGGAGTATGGTTTAAATTGTTTATTTCTGTGTAATTATGGAGGTTCCAGAAAGTTACACAGTGTTGCTTTAATTCATTTCTGTCAAAAACAATAAGATAAACAGGACAATAATACTTTGCACTTGTGCTCTGTATTAATGCAAATGGCAAAGAATTCAGGACCCAAAATGCAGGACTGTGACTATTGTCAAAGTCGAACTTTTCAAGTCTTTTGAACCATATCACTTTTGTTTCTGGTTCTGATATTGTCATATTTTAGTTTTGGGATTCGGACATCGTTAATTGTGTGGTTGTTGGATCTTAACAGCTGAAAACGGCTCGAGAAATTTGTTTTTGCGAACTCCATAAATACAAAAGTGAATCAGATGTGTGTGACTGCAAACCTCTGTTCAAACTGTTTCTCTTCCCAACGGAATTGAAAAATAGTGAAAGGTGAAGGTGATGGGCAGGATTGATCCACAGGAAGAACCAAAAAGGAAACATTTGACTGACTAAATCATCCCGAGTTTACAGTGAACATTTTGTATGTGGAGCGACAACAAAACAAAATCCCGATCCCTCGCTCAACCTCGGTTACGAATTTAAAAAGTCAACACCAAAGCAAAAGTCACCAACTGTTCACCAAGAAACACCTTCCACTGCAAAGAGACCAAGACGTGATGTTGCTGTAAAACCACAAGAACAAGAAAGTGCAGCTCAGTCTGTTTGTCTTCTGCTCCTCTCCATTAACAAACGGGATTTTGCTTGTTCTCTGTAAACTCGGGATGATTTAGTCAGTCAAATGTTTCCTTTTTGGTTCTTCCTGTGGATCAATCCTGCCCATCACCTTCACCTTTCACTATTTTTCAATTCCGTTGGGAAGAGAAACAGTTTGAACACATCTGATTCACTTTTGCATTTATGGAGTTCACAAACTTCTGAAGCCCAGGACTGAACTAGGACTAAACCAGAACTAAACCAGGACTGAACTATGACTAAACCAGAACTAAACCAGGATTGAATTAGGACTGATCTAGGACTAAACCAGGACTAAACCTGGCCTGAACCTGGGCTGAACCAAGACTGAACCAGAGCTGAACCAGGACTGAACCAGTTACGGAGTTCGCAAACTTCCGAAGCCCGTTTCTCGAGACGCTTTCCGCTGTTAGGATCCAACAACCACACAATTACGACGTCCGAATCCAATAACTAAAATATGACAATATCAGAACCAGAAACAAAAGTGATATGGTTCAAAAGACTTGAAAAGATCCACTTTGACAATAGACACGTCCCACTGGGAAAACAAACATGGCGGTTTGATGTTCACTTTTTCTGAAAATCCTTCCCAGTTCGTATTACGCGATGACCGGAAGTCCGAGATTCTAGATGGAAAATGAAGTAACAGTGTGATTTATTTCAGGCCAACGTTTCCTTTTCCTTCCTTTTTTTGTTTGTTTTGACGTTCTAATGTTTCTATAAATGCTCCAAACTTCCCCAAACACGGCCACGTCCCGCTAGAATCCCACCGGAATCCCGCCGCGCTAAACGGCCGGAGTTTGCAGGTGCATCGTGGGACCTCGGGGGCTTTGTAACCAGGTTATCTCCCACTCTCGCTTCATAATTTATGCTAATGCTTTCTTAATGAATAATTAGCTTCTGAACTGTGAGCGGAGAGTGTGAGCCGGTCCCTCTACGCCTACGGGGAAAAGTACACGCTCTGTGTCTAATAACGCTCATTAACCAAAATGCAAATGAAGTACGGTGTTTAGAGCCGCTAATGACGTATTATGGGATGGCAGAGGCTCTCGCGGTGCTTAGATTTACGGCAGCAAGAGTCACTACGGTGGAAAATGAAATCGCAGTTACCAAATTGTAAAGGAGGTAATTTTTAAAACAACTGCGTGAAAAGGTCTAATCCTGTAGTTTAGAACAGAGTCCCGCACAGGTCCGTGTTTTGGAGACCCGCACCCGCCCGGTCACGTTAACGTTCCACCCGTTACCCGTCTGTGCCCGCGAGAAATCTGTGTCAGACAATAGTCCAGATCTAAACCAGGATTAAGCCAGGATTAAACCAGGACTAAACCAGGACTAAACCAGGATTAAACCAGGATTAAACCAGGACTAAACCAGGACTAAACCTACGCTGGGTCATTAGTGGATTATGATCGCCAGGACTACACCAGGACTGGACCAGGACTGGACCAGGTCTAAACCAGGACTAAACCAGGACTGGACCAAGACTGGACCAGGACTACACCCGGACTGGACCAGGACTACACCCGGACTGGACCAGGACCAGGACTGGACCAGGACTAGATCAGGACTATACCAAGACAGGACTAAACCAGGACTAAACCAGGACTAAACCAGGACTAAACCTACGCTGGGTCATTAGTGGATTATGATCGCCAGGACTACACCAGGACTGGACCAGGACTAACCCAGGACTGGACCAGGTCTAAACCAGGACTGGACCAGGACTAAACCAGGACTGGACCAGCAGCAAACCAGGACTAAACCAGGTCTAAACTAGGACTAAACCAGGACTAAACCAGGACTGGACCAAGACTGGACTAGGACTACACCCGGACCAGGGCAGGACCAGGACTGGACCAGGACTGGACCAGGACTAGATCAGGACTGGACCAAGACAGGACTAAACCAGGACTAAACCAGGATTAAACCAGGACTAAACCTACGCTGGGTCATTAGTGGATTATGATCGCCAGGACTACACCAGGACTGGACCAGGACTAAGCCAGGACTGGACCAGATCTAAACCAGGACTGGACCAGGACTAAACTAGGACTAAACCAGGACTGGACCAGGACTAAACCAGGACTGGACCAGCAGCAAACCAGGACTAAACCAGGTCTAAACTAGGACTAAACCAGGACTGGACCAAGACTGGACTAGGACTACACCCGGACTGGACCAGGACTACACCAGGACTAAACCAGTACAGGACCAGGACTAAACCAGTACAGGACCAGGACTAAACCAGGACTGGAAAAGTACAGGACCAGGACTAAACCAGTACAGGACCAGGACTAAACCAGGACTAGACCAGGACTGGACCAGGACTAAACCAGGACTACACCAGAATAGGACCAGGACTAAACCAGGACTGGACCAGGACAGGACTAAACCAGGACTAAACCAAGACTAAACCAGGACTAAACCAGGACTGGACCAAGACTGGACCAGGACTACACCAGGACTACACCAGGACTGGACCAGGACTAAACTAAGACTAAACCAGGACTAAACCAGTGTCATCAGCATAAATATATACACACCGCAACCGCAGAGCCGATCATCAGGACTAACCCAGGACTAAACCAGGACTGGACCAGGACGGGACCAGGACTAAACCAGGACTGGACCAGGACGGGACCAGGACTGAGCCAGGACCATGAAGCATGACACAAACATGTTCAAACATGTTCAAAAATGTCCCTGTGTCTTATTTTGCGTAAAAAACACTTCTAACCCTGTAGTTTAAATCTGTATAAATATGTTCTGAAATGTGATTCTTGTGTTATTTTGTCAGTTCAGATTTCAGTGTTTTGGTCAGTTCTTCTGGACGTGTTTAAAATGTGAACTTTGAACAGAATCATATTATTAAAACTGAAATCTCAAATATAATCAGAATCACAAAGCCTGTAAGGAAAATCGTGGAAAAGGCGTGTTTTTCTCAAATCGTTCAGCTCTAATTGTATTTCCCTTTATATCACGAGTCTCCAGTAGCTCTCCAGTCCTTTCCAAGAAACTCAACGGCTCAGTTTTGATGAACTACCATTGTAAATGTATAATTTTGATGCCTAACTTTGTTAAGGTGACCAGACTTCCCTTTTTACCCAAGACAGTCCCAGTTTTGAGCCCTGTGTCCCCTGTCCCAACAGATTTATCCAAAACCACTGATTTATCCCAGTTTTATACAAGAAATATCCCAGGTGTCTCTATTTTGGACCAATCTGATCCCTGCCAACAAAGAAACTGTCATTTGTTGAGGTAAAATACATCAAATCTGCTTAAAAACGACCAAAACACAAAGAAAATGTGACTGTACTCACTCACATCTTACTCATGAATGAAACAATTTTCCTTAATTCCTTAAGCACTCGTTGCACAATTTTATTATTATCATCAACCACCAAAAAAGGAGACGTCCCAGTTTTTTATTTTGAAAATCTGGTCTAGTTTGGTCTAAAACTAAACCTTTGTGCACTCATAAATGGATAAAGGTTTATGTTTTATAGGTATCTAACTGTTCCCCATCTAAAACTTTCCTTGTGACTGCTGAAATAAGTAGCTCTTTGGCATTTTCTGTTTGTAAATGGAGCTCACCAGAAGGAAAAGTTTGGAGACTCCGCTTTATATTAATCTCTGTATAACGCTGTGGTCGTGTCTCTACAGTTCCCACACAAGAGGACATGTCCAGCCTGACTCCAGACTCCTCTCCAGAGTAAGTACATTTTTATATTATTATTATATTTTATTTTTCCACCTTCAAGACTCTTAGTGCTTTACAACAAGGAACCACTCACCCATTCACATAATTTCATACACCAGAGTACACGGACACTTTTCCCAAGGACACAACGGCAACATTCAACTGTGGGAACGGGAATCATCAACCTGTGGATCAGTGGATTTGTCCGCTTAACCAATAATGTTTACGTCAAGAGCGGGATTCAAACTAGAGTTCTGCGCGAGATAGAATGTTCAGTCCCTCTCCCGCCCGCACCCGCAAAGAATTGTAATTTTCATTCCCGCTCCTGCCAGCATCTGCGATATTTTGTCCCGCTCCTGCCCGCATATCCCACAAGATGAGGACGATCTATCAAACACGGAGAAGCGGAAAGGAATTGTCTAAAATGTGCGTAAGATTAGTCTACATCCGAAAGTTTAGGCTCCTTAAAATGTTTTTATTAATGCCAAATAAACTATCCAGATAGGCATACATGAATCATTTTTTTAAATTTGACTTTACACTCATATTTAGTTTGTGGGACTGTAGTTTATCATCCCACCCGCTCGTTCTAGCATCGTGCAGTCCTGCTCCCTCCCGCGCCCGCGGTGAGCTTTCAAAACGTGTCCCGCGCCGCACTGTTTTGCGTCAGGTTCCGCGGGAATGCAGGGCTCTAATTCGAACCATCAACCTTCGTATCAGTGGACAAACGCTCTACCAACTGAGCTGCTGCCGGCCTGTTTTTATAAAGAGCCCATGTCATGCAAAATAACTCTTTTGCACATATACAAGCACAATTTGGGTTTTAGAACATCCTCGACACAATAGTTATAAAATCTTACTGATTTCTTGGAGACAGTCACAGACCAGGAACTATGAAAGTCCGACTAATGCTCCTCCCCCCGCCCGTCCTGAGAAAGCACAGGCTCCGCCCTCCAAACGTGACGCAGGCTCTGAGTGAGCCGCCCTTCCTCCGCCATCTCAGGGAGGGAGGGGGAGACAGACGTGACCCTGATAGTGGCAGGAATAAACTTTTATTCATCATGGAGATACAGCGCGTTCAGCCGCATGTGTTGGACCCGGAATCGGACGAGGGACTTTGAGGAGCACGAAGCTCAAGCACATTACTGATTGGTAAAGTATAAACATGAGTAGAAAAACTTATTATTGGAGGAGGCGGGGCGGAGGTGGTGGAGCGGGGGAGCGGAGTGGGTCCGAAGCGTTTTCTTCTACGTCAAACCACATCCAACTCTCAATAAAACTGAACTGGTTGCACTGTTGCATTTTTTTTGTCATGATTCTCAGGTCTCTGTCTGAATGTCCCTGTCTCTGTACGTTACTTGACGCCCTCATCGTGTTGCTATAAGAACCGTCTCATGTTGTACTGAGGCCACACTGGGTCAATGTTTACACTTGGGTTTAAGGGGTATTTATTATTTATGGGTTTGCACTTTATGGGATGCTCCAAATGCAATTTCGTTGTTCTTCTGTGATAATGACTAGAAGATGAAATAAACAATAAACAAACGCGTCATAGGTGTATGTGCCGCGTCATCGTTGTAGCAGCTTTAGTTCGTTGTCACGTGGGAGGGTGGCAGAAATACGCTACAATTTGTTAAAAAAAAACACCAAATCAATCTAAAAACCACTTCAGCGACAAATACAAGGCCCACACATCACTCTTAGAAGGTAGAAAGCTCTGAAAACTTGATTTTGCATGAGATGGGCCCTTTAAGTTATGCCAGTACTTCTCATTTATTTTCTTTCATGCCCTGCTTTGGAAGAAGAAAAGATTTCGTGCCGCTCCATTCTCCGCCGCGACTGTAAATAGTATCATTCATATTCACAAAGCAGGGTGATTGTTGGCAGTATTCGGCGCGTTTTCGCTGCAAAAACTCAAGCGTGATTGGGGTGTAATGTCTTTAAGCGACGCCGTAATTTAATTGGCTTCAACATTTATTTGGCTGCCAACATTTTGAGACACGGTAAACGCAGCGGTCTTTGCTCGTTTCCCACCGGAGTCACAGCGAAGCCGAGCGCTAAATACGCTTTGTCGTATTTCCTCATCTTGGCTTTCAGGTTTTCATCCCTGTTAAATATTTTTCCACGGTGTCTCTTGAGGGCACTTCATGTCTTCTACCTCGATGCAAAAAACCCAACACTACACTGCCAACTACTGTAGTGGATGTGCTGTAGGGCCCGGTCAAGCAGAAGTAAACAACAAGGCCAAAAATTCAAGTTAATTCATCTGATGTAAAAATGTATTGAACAGATACATATGTACTCTAGTTTATGAAACTGTTGACCTTTTTTCTGAACCATTTTTGGTTCTAAAGTTCCATATGTTTTAAACAGACCATGTATGAAACATGGAACAAAAATTATTTCCCAAATTTCAAAGACCTGAAAATCATGTAAATAAATGGATGTATTTCATCATATCTTGTGTTATTCCATCTTTGAACTGTTGATGAAGGTACAGGATTAAAAAAAAAAAAGTATTTAAAATTATAAAAATTTTCTTGGAAGGACTGACATATTTTATAGAAATAGTTTCCTTTCATTTTGAAGTAATATTAAAGTATTTGGAAGAAAAAAGCGAAAAATGATGTAATTTTTTCAACCTAATCTTGTACCATATGGTAGAAAACTATATGAAGCAAATATTCAAACCAGTTTGTTAAGGATATGGAAGTGAGAACCAAGAGTTATCACTGTTTGGATTTATTGCCCAAAAAGTGCTGCATATTTCATTCCCTCCGTTACCGACATGAGTTTTTAAATTTTTTGTCAACAACTTGAAAGAATATCACAGGTTTAACTTGACCCTGTTGGAGTGTAACTCTTTCCTACATTCTGATACTTTACTTATTTCAATAGTTCCTCTAGTTTCTGAATAAGAGACATTTGAATGTCAAAAATCTGCCCCTGTTTCCCTCCGTTACCACTTGACCAGACCCAATGACACTTTACTCTAGTACGGCAAAAAAAAAAAAAAAAAAAAGCATGTTCCCCGAGGTCACACTTTTTGAGAAGGACTGAGTTATGCAGAGAATTGTTGTTGTTAAAACTGGGACACCTGAGTAAATTTTGGTTTATATTTTCAACATATTTTCTAAAACTGTTTACGCACCAAAAGGGATCGTGAGAAGGATCGAGTCAGAGCTGCGGGTAACAGTTTAAATACTTCCTACTTGTTTTTCATAGATTGAAAATAAAATAACCAAAAATTGCGGATAACATGTTGATCTACTGTGCAGCAAAGGAGATTAAATGAGGCTAAAAACGATAATTATGATACTATACTATACTAAATTAAGTTTCTAATGAAGTTCATGTGAGCGCTTGGATTATCAGGAGGAGTCCAGTGAAGCAGGAGACGTTCAGATTGCCACTTAAAGACATAACAAGATGGAAAAATGAGGTTTTCGCTGTGGACCAGCAGTGTTGGGGAGTAACAGATTACATGTACTGGAGTTATGTAATCAGAGTACAAATTATGAGTAACTGTATTCAGTTACATTTACTTTTTTCATGAGTGGCAATTGGATTACAGTTACTTTACTGAAATAAATGGATTATACAGAGGTATTTTTCCTGTTTTCACATTTTGAGCTATATCCCTTTTTTTTTTCTTTTTTTTTTCGGTAATTCCTCTCATTGCCGGAAACTAAACCAGGTCTAAACTACATCTAAACCAGGTCTAAACCAGGTCTAAACTACTAAACCACTAACTAAACTAGATCTAAACTAGATCTAAACCAGGTCTAAACCAGGACTAAACCAGGTCTAAACCAGGTCTAAACCAGGACTAAAATAGGCCTAAACCAAGACTAAAGCAGGACTAAAACAGGATTTAACAGGACTAAATCATGCTGCGTGGACGTGTTTCCTCGTCTTCTATCAATAATATTTTGAATTTGGTTCAGTAAAGTCTGGGCTTTTCATTTTCTTTTAGCAGAAAAAACATCTTATGTGAAGCAAATCAAGTAATCCAAAGTATTCAGATTATGTTACTAACCTTAAGTAATTTAATGGATTATGTTACAAACTACATTTTGAGGTGTGTAATCTGTAATCTGTAGGGGAATACATTTTAAAAGGAACCTTCCCAACACTGTGGATGAAAACAAAAAAATGTAAATACTATATACTCGGGATGGTGCAAGATCTCAAGAGATAAAATTGCCACAAGATCGTGCACACAAGAGAAAAATTTTCTCGTGAGATTTTTTTTGTTTTCTGTCACATTTGGATTAGACAGAAAAAGGATTAAAAAAAAAAAGAATTGGTGAGTTACGTCTCTTACAGTTTGAGAAAGTATTAGTATGGAAACAAAAATATGAAATCAAAGAAATTAATAAATGTGAGGCCAAAACTAGACAGTGAATTGTGAAATTTATAAATCAGGAATTATGTTAAAATTTCGTCTCATCTCGCTCTCGTGGACCCGATCTCGTATCTCGCTTCGTCTTGTGAAACTTGTGTTTTGTCCCATCCCTACTACTCACTACTGAAGTATAAATCTCTGCAGTACGTCGGCTCTTTGAGTAACTTATCCTCTTGTGTGTTTTGTTTTCCGCAGACTCGCAAAGAAGTCGTGGTTCGGTAACTTCATAAACCTGGAGAAGGAGGAGCAGATCTTTGTGGTGATCAGAGACAAACCTCTGAGCTCCATCAAGGCCGACATCGTGCACGCGTTTCTATCGGTAACAACGTTTTGTATCTCTGTACTTATAATGTATGTATGTTTAATATCATGCCTTTCTATCAGTAACTCAATCTTAGGTAATATATTCTAGTCCAGCACACATTTCTACCACTAATAACCAGGGCAACCGCAGGGTCTTAAAAGTCTTAAAAAAGTCTTAAATTTTGTTGTCCAAGTCTTATTTTTTTCACAAAGTAAATTAAATTTCATTAGCCTTTTTTTTGTTTACTCAACCGGGCTGCAGTGCGATGTTAACAGGAGGGAGGAAAAAAGACTAAAACAACGTGAAATCATGTAACGTGAATGAACGTCTAATTAAAAGTATTTTTTGTTATTTAAAGCAGTGAGTCATGGTTATTATTATTATTAGAATTGGATCTGGTGTTTTTTGCTTACATAATGGGTGTGATGTTGGTCTTAATTTTCATTTAAGTGGTCTTAAAAAGGTCTTAATAAAGTCTTAAATTTGGGTTAGTCAAACCTGGGGATATCCTGATGACACAACCTGTGTAAGTAAAAAACAAACTCCTCTACAGATCTTTCCATTTAAAAGCTTCAAGTTGATCACTGATCATTTGAAACATTTATATCTCAGTTAGATATAAATGATGGCAAAGCTCTGTCTCCCTCTCGTGTAAAAGTACCTCTCTGTGTGTGTGTGTGTGCAGATCCCGAGCCTGAGCCACAGTGTGATCTCTCAGACGAGTTTCAGGGCTGAGTACAAGTCTGCGGCTGGTCCCACTGTGTTTCAAAAACCTGTGAAGTTTCAGGTGGACATCACCTACAGCGAGAGCTCCGGAGCAACCAAAGACCACGGCATCTACTCCGTCACCTTCACACTACTGTCAGGTGAGCCCTGTCGCTGTCAGGTGAGCCCTGTCGCTGTCAGGTGAGTCCTGTCGCTGTCAGGTGAGCCCTGTCGCTGTCAGGTGAGTCCTGTCACTGTCAGGTGAGCCCTGTCACTGTCAGGTGAGTCCTGTCACTGTCAGGTGAGCCCTGTCACTGTCAGGTGAGCCCTGTCACTGTCAGGTGAGCCCTGTCACTGTCAGGTGAGTCCTGTCACTGTCAGGTGAGTCCTGTCACTGTCAGGTGAGCCCTGTGTCACGGGTTCGTCTGAAATAAATGTAAAGAAATTATGGTTCAGTCAAAAAAAATTCACTTAAAGGTTGTATGGAGGATTTTTTTTTTGTTTCAAACTGTCAGTCAAAGATTAAAATACCATTACAGAGATGCAGCAGCTTTGTAATTATGATGACAAAAAAAAAAAAAGAATGAAAATCTATCAACTGTGGACGTGTTGAGGCCAGATAAACATCAGCCAATAGAAAACGAGGCTCCCTCATTTTCTATTGGCTGTTAGGTTGTCAATCAAACTTCCTAGTATAACTGATTCGCCGGAGTGCGGGGATTATGTGGTTTACGCAGCGGTTCTTAAAGGCTTTTTCGAACTGTCGCTTCCTCGCATTTCGCACAAAGTTTGTCGTGACGGTGGACGAGAATCTACGACCGGTTCGCCGCAAAAGGAGCAAAGCCAAACTGAGGTGATTCTTGGAGATCTCGTCCAGCGATGGCGCGACCGAAGCAGACGAAGGGTCTAAAAACTGACGCGTCGGTCGCTGAATTACTTCTAGACAGGTCACTTCAACAGTAATTCTGAACGCGCACAAGGACTGTCGCTGTATTTCTCTTCCCTTAAAAAAATCCTCTATACAACCTTTAAGTGCGTTTTTATTCACACCACAGCCCAATGTGCAGAGTGGAATATTTACAGTGGAAATTATGTGGTAGATTCCAAAAAAAGGAGAAGTATTTACAACAATATTTACAGTAATAGCTCTTACAGTTTCCAGCGCTCACGTAGTCAGGCCAAAACAGACAGACCAAATGACCGGAGCTCCTCCTTATATACCCCTTAGCCCCTCCCCCTGGGCTAAACCAATTAATGAAAAATGGGGTTTTAAGGATTTAACATCAGCAAAACTTTACTGATGAACATAAATCAACTTAGAAATAAGCATAATAAAAGTGACTTAAAGAACCCCTCATACGGTTATCCTAAATTCAATTAAATAACTTAAAAAAAACAAAATAAACACACAAATAGATCACAATGGTCGAGTTCCACACACTAGCCGGGAAAACAGTCCAAATATCAGGGGAACAGTCTGTGGGGGTACAGGACCGTGGATCACATGAGTGGCCCTGCGTGGAAACAGTCTGTCGGAGCTTGTTTCCGCAAAAACTTCCACTTCCTCTGTCTCCAGCAACTAGGTCAAGAATCAGAATACACTAGACAGTTTGCAAGAACCCCGGAAGTTGTAGACCGAGCACCGACCAATCAGTGAAGAGCTGTGAAGTCATGACGTCAAACTCGTCGCGTCTGTCTGTGTCCCTTTTGTGGAACAACACAACAGTAAACAAAGCATAAACATTCAGTGTTGGCAACAATTCCCGAGATCGAGGATTTAAAGCCAGAACAAAGATAATGTTTGGTGAATTTTATCAAGGGGAAAGACGTTATTGTCCTTCTTCTTACGGGATTTGGAGCATTACATACGTCACGACTAAACAGCAGTGATTGGTTAAATAAATTAAAAATACCCGTCTACCATCAAGCGAACAATGAATCTGGCTACCTGTTTCTCTCATCAACCCAAAACATGCACAACAGGTCAAATCTTACAACTAAAGTCCTGAACCAAGAGCAGCTCCAGATCTGGAGGTGGGTCCCTGCGGCTCTGCTCCTCAGGAGACGCTCCAGACGCTTCGGTGACGACGCTGAAAAGCTCATAAAATCCCAGTTTGCTCGTTGCTCGTCTGCAGCCTGGTTTCCTCACTCGCAGCAGACGAGTGTGTGACAGCGTTGGTGTCACTGACAGCGTGAGAGCAGAGAGAGAGAGAAAACCAGAGAGAGAGAGGAGAAGAGAGAGGGAAGGGGGGAAGGTGAGAGACACTACTTCATTCCTCAGCGTTCCTCGCACCAGGGATCGACCGTGAGGAGTCAAACTGTGAACTAAACATGGACAAGTTCAACTGACAGAGAGAAGGAGAGGAGGAGAGAGAGCGATGGAAAGAGGAGAAGAGAGAGGAGGAGAGAAGAGAGACACTGCTTCACTCTGCAGCGCTCCTCACGGCAGGGATCGACCGTGAGGAGTCAAACTGTGAACTAAACATGGACAAGTTCAAGTGAGAGATGAGTGGGAGAGGGAGAAGGAGGGACGGGGTGGGGCAAAAGAGAGAGATAGAGGGAGAGGAACACTCCGCTTCACTCCGCAGTGCTCCTCACAGCAGGGACAGACTGTACAGACTGTGCAGACTCCAAACTGTGAACTGAACACGGCCAAGTTTCACTGAGACGAGAGCGAAGGAGAGAGAGGGAGATACAGTAACTTTAGATGCTCATCGGTTTGAATTTACACTCAGTTTTTATTTTTTTTAAAGGGCCCATCTGATGCAAACTCAACTTTTCCGAGCTTTCTGCCTTCTAAGATTGATGTGTGGGTCTTGTATTTGTTGCCAAAGTGGTTTTTAGATTGATTCAGTGTATTTCTGCCGCCCTCCCACGTGACAACGAACTAAAGCCGCTACAACGATGACGCAGCAGATTCACCTATGACGCGTTTGACGTAGCAGAAAACGATTTGCACCCGCCCCCTCCCACCCCGCCACCACCACATCGGCTGAAAATTCCCACATAAACACCTAAACAAAAGCGACAGCATAAGCCAGGCAAATTTTTTCTTGGCCCTCAGGCTTCTAGGAGAATTGGCCCAAATCACCTTGCATCAGTGAAAAATTACCTTTATATTGCAAGTTTTTTTTTGAAAATCTACCTTGATAAAGCCAATATTTAATATTTAGTGTGTGGTTTTAAGGATCTTAGCATGAAAAAAAAAGACTGATGGTTCATTCTAATGTGCTAAACATGCACATATTTCAATTATTCACTGTTTTGAACATCAGTCTGTGGCCCTCGATCGTCCCTCTGCTTCATCTGTGTTTAGAGATGTGGCCCTTGATGAAAAAAGTTTAAACACCCCTGGCAGAAGCTCATTGTTCTACACTGCACTGAACATGATATAATAAGTTTATCTACTAGTGTTTATTAAAACTTTACCAATCAGTAATGTTCAGCTGATGTGGACGCGGAGCTTGAGCTTCGTGCTCTTCAAAGTCCTCGTCCGATTCCGGGTCCAACACATGTGGCTGAACGTGCTGTATCACCATGATGAATAAAAGTTTATTCCTGTGACTATCAGGGTCACGTCCCCCTCCCTCCCTGAGACGGCGGAGGAAGGGCGACTCACTCAGAGCCTACGTCACGTTTGGAGGGCGGAGCCTGTGCTTTCTCAGGACGGGCGGGGGGGTGAGCGATAGGTGGACTTTCATAGTTCCTGGTCTGTGACTGACTCCAAGACATCAGTTTCAGAACTATTGTGTAATGGATGTTCTGAAACCCAAATTGTGCTTGTTTATGTGCAGAAGATACAATGTGAAAAGAGTTATTTTGTATGAGATGGGCCCTTTAAAGAAATCACTACCTACTGTAACTCTGCTTTTTAACTGTAAGTGTGTGAATGTGTGAGTGAGTAGAATATTAGTAGAATTATTTTGCAGTAACATTAATTCTGGGTGTGTTTCTGGGTGTGTTTCTGGGTGGGTTTGTGCTGCAGGTCCCAGTCGGAGGTTCAAGCGCGTCGTGGAGACCATCCAGGCCCAGCTGCTCAGCGACCAGTCCGGGACCAGTCCTCAGATCTCGGGTAAGTCCTGAGCCACAGACCCCCTCGAGCCCTGGACCCCTGGAGCTCCACACCTCCGTCCCTCCCTCCGCACAAACCTGCCTCTGTCCAAAAACACAAAACACAAGCGGACCACAAACTATAAGACAAAATACTGGCAAAAAAGACAGAAATATTGAGGTATTGTAAGTGTATTGTGGACAAATATTTTATAATTTTGTCAGCTTCTTGTGTATCTTAGCTTCAGTGTTGGGAGTAACGTGTTATAAAAGTAACGGTGAAAAAAAATTGAAATATTTCACTTGTGCGTTACAGTGCATTTTTTACCCAGTTTTTCTTCATGCGAATTCGTTAAAATCACATCGATGTCAGCAGCGGTGAAATGCCGGAGATGAGCCGGTCCTTTCGCCCGCGGTCACCAGACGGTCTACGCGGGCGAAAGGACCGGTGCAGAACTCCACGCTCCAAGGGGCGAAGAGCCGCTGACGCCCGATCGAGCTTTGCTGACGCCCTGTCTGCAAAGCTCTTCCAAGTTCTAGTCCAAGATTAGTCCTGGTTTGGTCTTTGTTTAGTCCTGGTTTAGTCCTTGTTTAGTCCTGGTTTGGTCCTTGTTTAGTCCTGGTTTAGTCCTAGTTTAGTCCTGGTTTAGACCTGGTTTAGACCTAGTTTAGTCCTGATTTAGTCCTCGGTTCAGTCCTGGTTCAGTCCTGGTTCAGTTCTGTTTTAGTCCTGGTTTTGTCCTGGTTTAGTCCTGGTTTAGTCTCAGTTCAGTCCTGGTTTAGTCTCGGTTCAGTTCTGGTTTAGTCCTGGATTAGTCCTGGTTCAGTCCTGGTTTAGTTCTGGTTCAGTCCTGGTTCAGTCCTGGTTCAGCTCTAGTTTAGTCCTGGTTCAGTTCTGTTTTAGTCCTGGTTTAGTTCTGGTTTAGACCTGGTTTAGTCCTGGTTTAGTCCTGGTTCAGTCCTGGTTTAGTCCTGGTTTAGTCCTGGTTTAGACCTGGTTCAGCTCTAGTTTAGTCCTGGTTTAGTCCCGGTTCAGTTCTGTTTTAGTCCTGGTTCAGTTCTGGTTTAGACCTGGTTTAGTCCTGGTTTAGTCCTGGTTCAGTCCTGGTTTAGTCCTGGTTTAGTTCTGGTTTAGACCTGGTTCAGCTCTAGTTTAGTCCTGGTTTAGTCCCGGTTCAGTTCTGGTTTAGTCCATATACGGCGCAAAAGTTCAGCATCTTCGCAGTTATTTTGATAAGAGTAAATTAAAAGTTCAGTAATACTTCCTGTAATATTTTACATTTTAAACACAGTAATATTGTAATGTAAGAAATTAATTTAAAACGACAGTAACACGTCATAAAAAAATAAATAAAACATTACAGTTTTAAAGTCACTTGCCCAATTTACGCTATTTTCTGATGTTATAAAGTTGTTTCTTTTGTTCATCACAGTCAGACCTGGAGTTGTGTTTTGTTTATCCAAACGATTCTAGTGAAGGTTTACGGAGTTTAATTTAACTTTGAATTTAAAGGTTGTATAGAGGATTTTTTTAAGGGAAGAGAAATACAGCGACAGTCCTTGTGCGCGTTCAGAATCACTGTTGAAGTTTCCTGTCTAGAGGTAATTTATCGACCGACGTGTCAGTTTTTAGACCCTTCGTCCGCTTCAGTCGCGCCATCGCTGGAAGGAATCTCCAAGAATCACCTCAGTTTGTCTTCGCTCCTTTTCCCCTTCTCTTCTTCTTTCAGCGACCGAAAACGGACTTTCTTTTGCGGCGAACTGGTCGTGGATTCTCTCCCGCCGTCTCGACAAACTTTGTGCGAAATGCGAGGAAGCTGCAGTTTAAAAAAGCCTCTAAGAACCGCTGCATAAACCACATAATCCCCGCGCGCCGGCGAGTCACTTACACTAGGGAATTTGATTGACAACCTGACAGCCAATAGAAAATGAGGGAGTCTCGTTTTCTATTGGCTCATGTTTATCTGGCCTCAACACGTCCACAGTTGATGGATTTTCATTCTTTTTTTTTTTGATCATCATAATTACAAAGCTGCTGCGTCTCTGTAATGGTATTTTAAACTTTCATTGACAATTTGAAACAAACAAACAAACAAACAAAAAATCCTCCATACAACCTTTAAGTCGGAGAGAAAAATTCGACCTAAATCTGCCGAGTTTGTGTTTTAAACGTATGTGAATGAAAAAAACAAAACAAAAACACAAGTCCAGGTCTGTTTTTTGAGGGGATAATGACATTATAACACGATTTAAACCTTAAAAGAGTCATACGGGACCTTTTAATGGTCTCTCAGCTGTACACTAGTCTTTAAATACTCACAGTACTACACAAACTGCAGTAGAAAGTATTGGCTGTAGTACTTCAGTCCCACCCTCAGTGAAATGAGTCGGCGGCTGCAGAGGGGAGCTGCTTCTCCACTGAAACAGAGAGAAAGAAAGAAACGAGAGAGAGAAAGAGAAAGAGAAGAGGGGAGGGAGAGAGGAGAGGCAAAGGAGAGGAAGAGAAAAGAAGTGGAGTGAATGAGAGAGAAGAGAGGAGAGAGAAAGTGAGAAAGAAAGGAAAGATAGAGAAGAGGAGAGAGGGTAGAAGAGAGAGAGGAGGGGAAGCATGAAAAATAGAAAGGAAGAGGGGGATGAGTGGAAAGATTGAGAAAGAAAGAGAGAGGTAGGTTACAAAAGAGAGGGAAGAGAGAAAAGAGAGGCAAGAGATAGAGAAGAGGAGAGAGAGATAGAGAAGAGGAGAGAGGTAGAGGACAGAAGAGAGCAAAAAGCGAGAGAGGAGAGGCAAAAGAAAGACAAGAGAGAGGAGAGGGGAGCACGAAAAAGGAGAGAGAGAGAGGAAGAGAGAAATGGAATGAATGAGAAAGAGAGAGAGAAGATGGAGACAGGAAAGGGGAGCATGAAAAAACAGAGAGAGGAAGAGAGGGACGAGTGGAAAGAATGAGAAAGAAAGAGAGAAAGACAGAAAGGAGAGGGAGTGAAGAGGAGAGAGGAAGAGGACAGAAGAGAGAAAGGAGAGAGAGGAAGAGAATGACGAGTGGAAAGAAAGAAAGAAAGAAAGAAAGAAGAAAGGTAGAGGACAGAAGAGAGGCAAAGGAAAGACAAGAGAGAAGAGGGGAGCACGAAAAAGGAGAGAGGAAGAGGGAAATTGAAAGAATGAGAGAGAAGGAGAAAGGAGAGAGAGATAGAGAAGAGGAGAGGAGAGAGGTAGAGGACAGAAGAGAGGGAAGAGAGAGAATAGAGGTAAAAGAAAGACAAGAGAGAGGAGAGGGGAGCATGAAAGAAAGGAAGAGGGGGATGAGTGGAAAGAATGAGAAAGAAAGGAGAGATAGTGAAGAGGAGAGAGGTAGAGGACAAAAGAGAGGGAAGAGAGAAAAGAGAGGCAAGCCAGGAAAGAGGAGTAGTAGTAGAGAGAGAGAGAGAGAGGAGAAGAGAAGGATGAGTGGAAAGAATGAGAGAGAGAAAGAAAAAAAGGAGAGAGAGAGAGAAGAGGAGAGAGGGACTAGAGAGTGAAAGCGAGAAAGAAAGGAGAGATAGAGAAGAGGAAAACTGAGAGGAAGAGAGGGACGAGTGGAAAGAATGAGAAAGAAAGACAGAAAGGAGAGGAGTGAGAGAGAGAGAGAGGGAAGAAAGAGAAGAGGAGAGACAGAAAGGAGAGATAGAGAAGAGGAGAGAGGTAGAGGACAGAAGAGAGGAGAGGCAAAGGAAAGACAAGAGAGAAGAGGGGAGCACGAAAAAGGAGAGAGGAAAAGGGAAATTGAAGGAATGAGAGAGAAAGAGAAAGGAGAGAGAGATAGAGAAGAGGAGAGAGGTAGAGGACGGAAGAGAGAGAATAGAGGTAAAAGAAAGACAAGAGAGGGGAGCATGAAAAGGGAGAGAGAGAGAGGAAGAGAAAAGTGGAATGAATGAGAAAGAGAGAGAGAGGGGAGATGGAGAGAGGGAGTAGAGGTGAAAGAGAAGACAGAGAGAGAGAGAGAGAAAGGAGAGATGGAGAAGAGGAGAAAGAGAGGAGAGAGGGCAGAAGAGAGAGAGAGGAGAGGGGAGCATGAAAAAAAGGAGAGGGGGATGAGTGGAAAGAATGAGAAAGAAAGGAGAGATAGTGAAGAGGAGAGAGGTAGAGGACAAAAGAGAGGGAAGAGAGAAAAGAGAGGCAAGCCAGGAAAGTAATAATAGAGAGACAGAGAGGGGAAGAGAAGGATGAGTGGAAAGAACGAGAGAGAGAGAAAGAAAAAGAAAGAAAGGAGAGAGAGATAGAGAAGAGGAGAGAGAGATGAGAGATAGAGAAGTAGAGGACGGAAGAGAGCAAAAAGCGAGAGAGGAGAGACCGAGGAAAGACAAGAGAGAGGAGAGGGGAGCATGAAAAAGGAGAGAGAGAGGAAAAGAGAAGTGGAAAGAATGAGAAAGAGAGAGAGAGAAGAGATAGAGAGAGGGAAGAGAGTGAAGCGAGAAAGAAAGGAGAGATAGAGAAGAGGAAAATGGAGAGAGGAAGAGAGGGACGAGTGGAAAGAATGAGAAAGAAAGACAGAAAGGAGAGGAGTGAGAGAGAGAAGAGGGAAGAAAGAGAAGAGGAGAGACAGAAAGGAGAGATAGAGAAGAGAGAGAAGAAAGGCAAAGGAAGAGAGAGAGAAGGAAAGAAAGAGAGGAGGAAAGAGAGAGAGAGAGAGAGAGGAAAGAGAGAAGAGAAAGAAGAGAGAGAGAGAGAGAGGAGAAAGAGAGAGAGAGGAGAGAAAGGGAGAATGAAGGAGAGAAGGAGAAAGAGTGAGAGAGAGAAGAGGAGAGAGAGAAGAGAGAGAAGAGAGAGTAAGAGAAAGACAAGAGAGAGAGAGAGGGAAGCATGAAAAAGGAGAGAGAGAGAGGAAGAGAGAACGTGGAATGAATGAGAACGAGAAGAGAGAGAGGAGATGGAGAGAGGAGTGAAGAGGTAAAGAGAGAGAGAGAAGAGAGAGAGAAAGTGAGAGAAAAGAGAAGAGAGAGAGAGAGAGAGGAGAGAGGGTAGAGAGAGAGAGAGAGAGGAAAGGGAGC